ATGTCAAATTGCCGTTGACATTTTTAACCGGAAGTTGACCATAACTTCATTAATATTGAAGATAAATATGTCGTGTTTGTACTCATTTTAAAGGATTTTTAATGAAGATTACAAATATGTCAAAATTGAGGTTGACGTTTTAATCTAATTAATTCTAATCTAATGTTAGTCACTTTTCCGCACTTTCTTTTTATTTTTAACGTGTTTTTTGCGTCATTTCACATTGATTAAAAAAATGATGTGATAAAAATGGACAGGCACCAAACAATTTTCAATAGTTTGAGCCTGTCTATTTTGAAAAGTCTAACGCGGTCTAATTATAAGTTTAAGTTTGATGTAATTAATACCACAAAGCGTTAAAACCCCGATATTCATTTAAAAACACCCTGTATTGTACAGATATCAATGTGATCTAAATTTATTGCAGTATGAAACTTTATAGTGAAAAAATCCAACAGATTTACTCTTAAAGATCGTTAGTTTAACTTCTGATAAAAATCTTAGAAATCCTCCTGTCATTTTGACATTTAAATGTCAATTTGACATTTCGCCTAAAATTTATATCTTTTTGATATATTTATTAAACCATATTTTCTGAGATTATTTTAAACGTTTAACTCAACCGACCATAACCTAAGATAACCTAAAAACAAAAATTGCGTTATCGATTCGTCGTATAAAAGAGAAAAAGAGGTAAAACGTCCAAGTTTTTTCAAGGTTCGAATCGGAGAATAGATTTCATTGAACTCTTTCCAAATTGGAAAGCGGTCGTAAAACGCGCGGAAACACATCAAGTGAAACGGATTTCCCGAGTCCGGAAATCGGATTACCGCAATCTGGGCGACGATTGTGCCAGGTTAGAATCTTCTCCGCGATGTTCCACCTTACTATACTTAAATAAACCAAAAAATAAGAAATTTAAACTATAACAAAATTAAAAACGTACACTTATTCATAATAATTAAATTAACAAAAAAATTCGCTTTGAAAATTAGTTTTAAACTAAAGCCGTGAATGCAGGGACACGCTCGAGAATTAATTTATGGACATGAAGAGCGCGGAAACTTCTGTAAATATCCATTAAAAAAGCGTTAAAGCGCTGGATATAGTTTTAAGAGTAAAAAGGTCCGCTTTTTGGCAAGGATCCCGGTTTTAACTAAAAAAATTAACTTAATTATTTGATTTTGAGGTTACGTACTTTATAGTTTCATTTTGATCGTTCCCATCAATTCTCCAAACATCAAAAAGCTTCGTTTTACTTCATTTAACACCCGTGGAAGAGATTTAGTACAAATTTGCATTCCTTAACGTCCTTTTTTGATGATTTTTAATTAAAAATAAAAACATTTAGAACTGTCAACTACTCAATGACAACAAACGTAAAATTAAGTGAGGTTATGTCCAAAATTGATTTATTTTTGTAAGTTAAATTAGATTTATTAATTTAAATTAAACTTAAATAAATAAAGATTTATTGAGTTAATTGGAAATTAATTAAATTAATCCATTTTTATAAACAAATTAAAATTTATTTTAATTTAAAAAAAATTGGATATAAAATCAATAGATGGCGCTTTTTCTTAATGTAGAATTTATTAACGGTTAAATTTATTATTTAGTTTTTAAACACAAAAATTAACATAATTTAATTATTAATAAATGTATTTTAGATTCTTTTATAAACAAATTAATTGAATTAAATCATAAATAATTCGCACTTCACATGTAAACATAGTTTATGCGCCAACTTCACAGTTGTTTATGTTTACGTGAAAAACCTCGATTTTAATCATATTTTAATCCTCTAAAAAAGTCACCGTAAAAAAGGAATTCAATGCAAATCGTCTCCTGGGGAGCTAAATTAAGTGTAACGATAGGATTGAAGTGGAATCAAGTGAAATTATGGTGCTGAGGAACGTTTTAAATTCACCGCAGGGAATAGCCATGAAACGGGGTAAAACCGATAAGGTACAATTTATCGATTAAAAATACTAATATTATATTTTATCGTGGAGTTTTGTTAATAAAAGACACTAATAGTCATTCTATGTCATTCAACTCTACCTCTTAACGTTTAATTACGTTTTTATTTAGGTTATATGTTGTATGTTTGGTTGCCTAAATTACTTGTTTTAATATTAAAAAGTAGAAATTAAAAGTTAATAAAAAACATTAAAGTAGAAGTTAGCAACAATGCAGATAGCAATTTAATTTGTAAATAATAATATTTGTTTTTGTGATAAATTTTAAGAATTTTATCAAAATTAAAAATACAACTTTTAATTTTGACATATTTGTCAACTTTATAAAAAATTCTTTAAAATGAGTCCAAACTCGACATATTTAACTTTAATATTAACGGAAATACAATCACTTCCGGTTTGAAACGTCAACGTCAATTTTGACATATTTGTCATCTTCATTAAAAAACCTTTAAAATGAGTCCAAAGATGACGCACTTATCTCAAAAAACAAAAAAGTTAGAATAAAAAACATTAAACCCGAAGTTAGCAACAATGAAGATAGCAATTTAATTTTTAAATATTAATACCAACCTTAATTTTTTATTTTTTTTTATTATATTTTTGTTTTTGTGACAAATATTAAGACATTTTATAAAAATTAAGAATATGTCAAAATGACATTGACATTTCAAACCGGAAGTTGCTTATATCTCGAGTAATATTGGAATTAAACGTATCATGTTTGGACTCATTTTAAAGGATTTTTCACAACGATTACAAATGTGTCAAAATTGACGTTGACATTCCTAACCGGAAGTTGACCATAACTTCATTAATATTGAAGATAAATATGTCGTGTTTGTACTCATTTTAAAGGATTTTTAATGAAGATTACAAATATGTTAAAATTGAGGTTGACATTTTAAACCTGGAGTTAGTTGTCATATATGGACAACTTCGTGGTGCTTTCTCATGATGTATTCGTTATTAAAAAATTTTAAAATGACTCCAACATGATGGATTTATCTCAAAAAACAAATCAGATAGTTTTTTAACAAAGCACAGTTTGTTAAACAATACGCGGAATGGGTGTATCAAAGGCAACAGGGAAAAATTACTCATAACATAAATAAAAAAGATGTCACTTGTTGTTTGTTTATGGACTTAATGTAAGCATTTGATGACGTACGCCATGAAAGATTGTTTCATAAAATGGCAAACATGGTTATCAGAGGTACACCACTACTTTGGTTCAGGTCTTACTTGTCTAGAACTAATAATTCTAGTGTAGATATATTCGTTACAACATTCAGATGCAACCCATCTTGTATCATGTTTACTTCTCGTATATGTGTCGTAATGCTGCATGTGATAATGCTTTGTTGGAGTATGCTCAATATCAGCACCATCCAAACTGATTACTTAGAGATATTTATCTCATGATGTATATTTCTTAAAATTACACATCTTATATTATGCTATAATAAGCTATAATTGAATACTGTTGAAGTAAATAGATAATTTAAAAATCTAATTCAAAACAACAAATTTATTTTTACATAAACAACTTCAAAACATCAAAATAACTGGAAAGTTTAAGAGAAATGTCGGAGTAGATGGAGAAGGGGAGCTTTCGGGGGTCGTTGGAAAAGCTCGTCGGACCGAATAAGCTCGCGTATCCGGCGGTGTCGACGATTTATTGCGGCCTTACGGCGCGCGCGGGGCAATTGTATGCAGAATGCACAGCACTTCCTTCCACAACCCCCCTTCTTCCCATTCAAACTACTCCCCCCCATCGTCGTCGTCCCCAAAATCTCCTCCACTTCCTGAAACGATCCCAGTCCCCAATTTTTTGCGAAACGAGAATCGACAAACTCCTCTCTTTAGTAGAGGAGTCCGGTTTCAATTTTTAAAATTGGACGGCAATCGAGTGAGATGAACGGATATAAATCTGTTTCTAAGTTAGTATGCAACCAATATCACAAATCGCGTATTGCAATACGAGTACTGTGATATTGGTTGCATACTCGAGTACAATAATTAATTAACACACTGTATAATATAATATATATTATGAATGACGTGGCAGAAAATGTTTTAAGACGCGATTTATTAATATTTAGCAATAAATTTCCATTAAATATTGAAACCAATTAACCCATTTACATCTCGGTGGTTAATTGATCGTAAATGGGCGGGAAACGATTATTGTAAATTAACATAATCGGATTAATGCGGAAGGTTGGGGGTGGGGGGAGGGGAAGTAGTGTGTGTCCCGGAATTTGTTTCGTAAATGGGTTGCAGGGGTCGGAGAGAGGATTCCAGGTTTAATTGTAGCGAAAAGCGTCCGGCGTGAATTATTTAAGCGTCCGGCGGCGTCGGAACCCGCGCTTCTGCTACTGCAATTATCGCACGTAAATTGCTTGTTTGCTCGAAATCTAATTAGCGAATAAATTACGCGAACAAAGCTCCGCGTAAAACGATTCGAACGGAAATTTTTCATTTTTTTGTGATCACCCAATATTTTATGGAAGTATCTCCCAACAATTTGTTGTTTTACTTTTATAATGATACTACCTGGAGGTTGAGGGAGCTCGATGGTGGAAGAGTGAAAGTGGGGAACTCCCCTAGGTTGGACGCGATAACATTGACTGGAAAATGGGCCGGAACTGACCGGAAGTGAGCCATTGTGGACGGCGGAGTCGCAATCGTCCGCTACCGGAATGGGAATCGCTTCGTTTCCGGTACCTTTTACCTCCTTCATCCCCCGTTTCCCATTTCGACATCAACAAAGAGTTAAACCTTCGATTCCGTTACTAAAAAATGCATAAATTGTTAATTATTCCAATAATTGAACCTTGGCATTATTCAGAAAAACACGTTAAAAAAAAAAGAAAACCTCAATTTTGACATATTTGTAATCTCCATTAAAAATCCTTTAAAATGAGTACAAACACGACATATTTATCTTCAATATTAATGAAGTTATGGTCAACTTCCGGTTAAGAATGTCAACGTCAATTTTGACATATTTGTAATCGTCGTGAAAAATCCTTTAAAATGAGTCCCAACATGATACGTTTAATTCCAATATTACTCGAGATATAAGCAACTTCCGGTTTGAAATGTCAATGTCATTTTGACATATTCTTAATTTTTATAAAATGTCTTAATATTTGTCACAAAAACAAAAATATAATAAAAAAAAATTAAAAATTAAGGTTGGTGTTAATATTTAAAAATTAAATTGCTATCTTCATTGTTGCTAACTTCGGGTTTAATGTTTTTTATTCTAACTTTTTTGTTTTTTGAGATAAGTGCGTCATCTTTGGACTCATTTTAAAGGTTTTTTAATGAAGATGACAAATATGTCAAAATTGACGTTGACGTTTCAAACCGGAAGTGATTGTATTTCCATTAATATTAAAGTTAAATATGTCGAGTTTGGACTCATTTTAAAGGATTTTTTATGAAGTTGACAAATATGTCAAAATTAAAAGTTGAAAGTTCGAACTTTTTGGTTTTTTGAGATAAATGCGTCATGTTTGGACTCATTTTAAAGGTTTTTTAATGAAGATGACAAATATGTCAAAATTGACGTTGACGTTTCAAACCGGAAGTGATTGTATTTCCATTAATATTAAAGTTAAATATGTCGAGTTTGGACTCATTTTAAAGGATTTTTTATGAAGTTGACAAATATGTCAAAATTAAAAGTTGAAAGTTCGAACTTTTTGGTTTTTTGAGATAAATGCGTCAAGTTTGGACTCACTTTAAAGGTTATTTTATGAAGATTACGAATATAATAATAAAATTAAAGTTGACATTGACAACTGAAAGTTTTTTTCACGACTAAACACTAGATTAACGTCAATTATAAAACTTCTATTATATGATAACTAACTTCAGGTTTAAAATGTCAACCTCAATTTTGACATATTTGTAATCTTCATTAAAAATCCTTTAAAATGAGTACAAACACGACATATTTATCTTCAATATTAATGAAGTTATGGTCAACTTCCGGTTAAGAATGTCAACGTCAATTTTGACATATTTGTAATCGTCGTGAAAAATCCTTTAAAATGAGTCCAAACATGATACGTTTAATTCCAATATTACTCGAGATATAAGCAACTTCCGGTTTGAAATGTCAATGTCATTTTGACATATTCTTAATTTTTATAAAATGTCTTAATATTTGTCACAAAAACAAAAATATAATAAAAAAAAATCAAAAATTAAGGTTGGTATTAATATTTAAAAATTAAATTGCTATCTTCATTGTTGCTAACTTCGGGTTTAATGTTTTTTATTCTAACTTTTTTGTTTTTTGAGATAAGTGCGTCATGTTTGGACTCATTTTAAAGGTTTTTTAATGAAGATGACAAATATGTCAA